CATCACACGTTTCATATCGTCATGCTGTCAATATCTCAGCCGCTTCCCATGCAAAATAATAATGAATGAGGGACCCTCTGGCCTTTATTTCAGCACTCCACTTATAATGCAGAAAGTTACATTCTTTACATTCTAGTAAGTAAAATATTGGATATATCATCGAAATCAACTCACTTTCTCCACTCTGCCAGCTGCGCTGGACCGCTCAGCGAGGTCTTGCAATGAATGGCCTGGTATTGTGAGAAAAGATTGCCCTCACCCTCAACCAGCCACGTGATAGCTGTTTTGACTGTTGTACCAAGATCTCTGAGAGTAGAAATTTTAGACTGTGCTGGATTATCTCAATGATTCACTTTGTCAAAATGTGCAAAATTAACAAAAAAGTTTTTTTTTATAGATACATATGCCTATACATAAACTTATATTTTACTTAACTTAAGCGAGTTTTAACAAATTAACTGAGAGTTACGGTGGGCTTGGCCACTCTGTCACATTGACAGCTGCTCGCTCTGTGCAGGGGCAGTGCGCGCTGATGTAGGTCCTCAGTGCAGTGCTATTGGACCCGGATGACTCACGACTACAGTCACCCCAGATATAGTCACTTTTCTCTTGGAGTGACGGTATATCAGGAGGTTATTGTAATCTGAATGAGAAAAGTCTGCTTCAGTTAAGGTATTTTTTTTCCTGAAACATTTTCTTACACAGAATCACATTACATAGATTAGTACAGGTCATTCGGCCCAACTAGGCAGTGCCCGTATTTATATTCCACAAAAGCCTTCACTCCCATAGCACTCTATTCCCTTCACCCTCACATATGCATTGAATTTCAGCTTAAATATGTTGATGCTTTCTGCTTCATCAGAAGAGTGTTTCACAATAGGCATTTCTTTCATAAATTACTCAGATTGCTGGGGTAAGGATACAATCTAAGACAAAGAAATTACACTATTTCAGTGACACTGTCAGAAGGAAGAAAACACACCACTAGTCATCATTTGAGTAAGGAAATGGTGTTTATGTCAAAAGCAGGGCCTTATAAACCATGTTACTAAAATAGGTTAAGTAAACTTTCCTAAGAAACAAAGAATGAGGGACATTATTTTAATGTTTTGAAATGATAAATGTTTGATAGTGGATTCCAGTGAATTCTTTTACGAAATGAATTGTGATTAGACCAAGGAATTCAATTAGCATGAACTTTATTCAAGAAAAAATATTGAAAACTCGCTGGTTAAACAAAGCTTGAAGGAATTAATGTGGAACACATTGCCATCTAGTGCAGTGAATACTGGATCTGCAGAATTTTTAAACAACAAAATCTGGATTGATATGTTGTACTTGGAAGCTGAGAATTTGAGGATTACCATATTTTAGGATGGGAGAGAACTAACAGACAGAAATACTAATCAAAATGTCATTGACTGGCTGAACCGGCCTTCTTTATTTCCATGGATTCTTGCAATTTAGGGTTCTGCCCTCTATCAACAACAACAACAAGATTGCATTTATAGAGCGCCTTTCACGTCGGGAGGACGTCCCAAGGCGCTGGACAGTTGGGTTGGGACCCGAGAAGGGGGGAAATGGTCAGGGTGAGGGGAGGGAAGGGAGGGAGCGAGGAGGGGGTAGACAGTCGAGAGGGGAGCTGAAGGCACGGTCGAAGAGAAGCCTGTATGAAGCACTTTGATTTACTTCCCATTTTTCTTATGTGAAGATACCCAGATAATTTGCAAACAACTAATGACTATGTTCCTCGTGGTGGGTGGATTCTTCTTGATCTTGAGATTCCATTTACAAATGAAGTCACTTAATTACCATACGTCTGAGAACAAAAACTTATCAGTCAATGTGGTGGAAGGGCCCCTGCAAGGGTTGATGGCAAAATGTATTACGTTTTGATAGAATTGCAATGGGGACAGCTATTAGAAATGGTTAGCATGCTTCACCTATAAATCCTCTGCACAAAAACTATTTGATTTTACCATCTTCTATGAAGAAATATGCTCTACAGATATATATTGTGAATAACTATACTAAAGATAGTCTGCAAGTTATTACAAATATTCTACTTGTAGCCTCATTTAATGTGAGGTTAAGAACATTCCTAGACTCCAAATAAATCTCTTATTTTTGGTACATCAAAATCTTTATTATATTAAATACTAAGGCATGCAAGTACCAACACGGGAAAGCTCAACAGAGCTAGACAGTTGCAATTTCACCATCAATCTTGCAGGCACATCCTCCACTATTTTCATTGTTCATACTTTGAAGCGAGACCTTTTTGAGCCAAGGATAATGAAGTGGAACAATGATACAAAAAACCTGCCTAAAAGGGATGGAGATATTAAATCATGCACGTGATTTAAAACATGACATAAAATCTACATATAACATGCATTGGGCTCTGACTCACACACCGTTTACAAATGAAGCAATTTGCACCCACTAACAAAGTACATCAATGTAAAGAAGCATACAGCATCCCCAAGTTAATCATGGAGAGACAGCTGACTTTGAAAAGGTGATTAATAATAAACTTTGTACAGACTCTGGATGGCAAAGAGACAGAAAACAGAAATTGTGCAAAACTCCACGTTGACAAATATTTCAGAACAGAATTCTCCTCTGTATGCCAGAAGGCTGTTGCAGTTCTTTGTCAAGTGTAGTGGGCAACTGATGATTGTTGATATTATAAGGGATACAAACAATAGAATTGCTCTTTTTGCATGTTAGCTAGCAACTTTTCATCACTTCAACTGTAGCTTGCAAACATGTATCCAAACTTCTCAAATGTATCGCATAACAACCTCTCACTTCCTTATTTCTCACAATTGAATGAGGCTGTTTGGATTTTTAATTAAAATAAGTAATGAAAATTAACAGTAAAAAAAATCTGATAGTGTCACGTTAAACAAAATTCAGGAAAAAAGTCTTAATATTAATGATCTTTTTAAATATTAATGGCAGAATCCTAATTTGGAGTTACCAAGGCCCAATAGATTGTTCAATAATGTCCAAATCAATGCAGTTATATTTTTTCACATAAATCTATTAAATGTAACTGAGGTGTAACCAATGTTGCCCAAATTACAAACCACGATGAGAAATAACATTAGAAGAATTGTGTTTATTATTTATTTACCATTTTATTTTGAGTATTACCTTCCGACAAGGCCAGCTTCATTCAGCACTTACAATGAACCTCTCTCTATACACATGTTCATAAATGCTTATTTGCAGAGCAAGGCTCCTTATCGAGTCTGTTAACTATCAAGAGTCTATTTACACCAAAAGGTTTTAAAGGTAGATATTTTTCATTACGTTGTTTGTTTGTAGAACATTTGTGGTCCATGTTAGTAATGGATGAATTAAAGCTTAAAGTTACATTTAAAAAAAGACCTTCAGCAGCCTCATATGAATAATGCTTCTATTCTACCAAAGTGCAGAGGACAAAAGACTGACATATTCCAATACATTTTGCTCAGGGGCAAGGCCATATACAGACATTGCATTTTGGTTCATTGCTCAATTACACTTCGAAAGACACCGCTGCCAATGACCTAATTTACCTAGTTTTAGACCCAGAAGCAAAGATGTTACCCAGCCCTGTGGGACTCTAACAAATATTGTTTCCCATTGAAAGTAAAATATGCTATATATGGTAAGTGCTGATCCACAGCATCACTTTAGGTTTGACTATGTAACTCGCAGTTGCTCAAAATCAAAAATCAAACCAGTATTGAAACTTTCTGGATTAATTTTTCAGCTTGCTTCCATACAGTTATATCGTACAATACATGTAGAGGATAATAAAACACTGTTTAGCACTATTATTCACACAAGCAGATACATGTAAAGAAGGTAGAGTGCCTGTCAGACAATATCCTCACCACTGGATCATTCCAATTGAAAACATTGCACCACTGAAACTTTTTTCTGGTTTGTAAGGCTGGCAATAAACCATGGCTGGAGAATGCAAAGCATCACTTTGAACTTGTAAGAATTATCAGTTTACTTTCTACACGATTCAACTGAAGAAAGATGAAAAGTCGAACAAGTACTGTATCTGAACCACCTGTAAAACACAGAGGCGCTCCGAATGAGAAACAGCACCCGATGAATATTTCTCTTGTCTACCGCTGATAGTATACAAAAAATAACCACTGTACATTGAAACACATCTCTGAACACTTTGACGTTCAAAGGGATTAACTTGTGCCAATTTAAATGACGCGAGTTAAACTATTTATACCGATAACTGGGGAATCACAGTGTGCAGTTAAAAGGACCAAGTGTGTGCATCCTGAACATTGTACACAAAGATGCACAAGATGCTGTGTAGTAGGCGAGTGGCATTTCAGTTTATCTTAACACATGAACAAAGGCAGACTTCACACATGTACCGAACCGGTCAGGAGCTGCGACTCCAAATCGGAGGCGCTTTCGGAATTGCAGAGGTATCCGTAATCCGCAGACCCTTCCCTTCCAGCAACCATCCACAACTTGCGTAGCAAATCCACATCAAAGCCAACAGCACTGCGTTCACCCCCACACGCAACACACGGAAACCCCAGCGAAAAGTTTCCAGTCTTCAGTCCGCCGGGGTCGCCTGAGATACACCCACACCGAGAGGTGCATCTGTTGCTGTACTGCGCCAGCGTGTGTGTGTGTGTGTGTGTGTGCATATATATACACACACACACATCCTTATACACACCGCTCTTAAATAATGAAAGACTCGCACTTGGTATTTTTTTTGCCCAGTATTTACCAGAGTGTTTGCACATCGCATTGCAGTTACAGTGCGTGGGTTACAGCAAAACATTATAGCCAAGTCTGACCGTACGATTGTGAAACTGACCAAAACGCCGGGACCAGATTTTGGTTCAAACAGCAGAAACACACACACACACACATACACAAAAACCTACTTAATTAAACATAAAATAAAGACATTTAAATCAAAGAAGAAGAAAAAGTTTGAGGGTCTCACTTACTAGCTGGAGGCTGCAGACGAATATGAGGGTACATCTGCCGCTGCAGCAGCCCATGGTTGCGGGTGGTTTGCAATGGGAGGATGTCTGGGGCTCACTCCGGCTGTGGCTGTGGCTGTAGCTGTGGCTCTCTCTGGCTGGGGCTCTGGCTGTAGCTGTAGCTCTGGCTGGGGCTCTGGCTCTCTCTGGCTGTAGCTGTAGCTGGGGCTCTGGCTCTCTCTGGCTGGGGCTCTGGCTCTCTCTGGCTGGGGCTCTGGCTCTCTCTGGCTGTAGCTGTAGCTGGGGCTCTGGCTCTCTCTGGCTGTAGCTGGGGCTCTGGCTCTCTCTGGCTGGGGCTCTGGCTCTCTCTGGCTGGGGCTCTGGCTGGCGGATGGACGGATTTGGCTGCCCCCGGCACAGGTGCAGCCCGGGACCCTGTGATTTCCCCACCCCCCTCGCCCGGTTGGCGCCGCCTGATTGCCGAGTCCTGTGAGCACCTGGGCTGGGCTGGGCAGGGCAGGGCTGGGCTGTGCAGGGCTGTGTTGGGCTGTGCAGGGCTGTACTGTGTTGGGCTGTGCAGGGCTGTACTGTGTTGGACTGTACTGTGTTGGGCTGTGCAGGGCTGTGCTGTGTTGGGCTGTGTTGTGCTGTACTGGGCTGAGCCACGCACCGAGTTGCGCCCCGACTTGTCTCAGCAGCAGCAGCCGCGGCGAGTGGCCGCCGTGCGAGGGCAGCCCGCGCTCCTCCTCCTCCTCCTCCTCACCATCACTGTGCCAACCAACACTATCAGCACCGCACACACCGGCTCAGCCTGCACAGTGACACTGAGCAACCAGGGGAGGGGAGGGAGAGGGGAGGAGAGACAGACAGACAGACAGACAAGACAGACAGTGCAAACTCTGGTCTGTCTGTGTGTGTCTGTGTGTATCCACACGAGGCGGATGTGCTGGTGTGTAACTGAGCAGATGTGATCCACGCTCCACACTTCACTCAGCAGAAAACTGAGGATCCCTCTCCATCCCTCTCTCCCTCTCCATCCCTCCCTCCATCTCTCTCACTATCTCTCTCTCTCTGCTGCTGCTGCACTGCCCCCCCCTCCCCACCACCTCCCGCTGTTCTTGATGCTGTTTTGACGATTTATTTATTTCCCACTTTGCAGATTTGGGCCACGATCCCCCTCCTCCCCCCTCCTCCCCCCCCAAACAGCTGATTGAGAAATGCTGGAAGAGAGTTCCTGTCGCTTTCAACACCACCCGCCTCCCCCTGAACACACCAGTCAGTCGCAAGCGGTTATTGGAGACGGTGCCGGTGCTGCCACAAAAACACACCGCCGCCGGTTGTGATGAGCCGCCGGAACGCCAAACCATGTTCAAGCCCCTGTTTGCCAGACTTATGGCTTTAATAACTTGTTCTCTTGTTATGTATTGCCTCTCTCGGCCGAACAGGTCACGGCGTCGGGGATCACAGTTGGTTTGGGAAATAGATACCCTGCAATCATTTACTGTGCAGAGCTATCCACCAGCTGATGCTTCGGATAGAGTGAGAGAGAGATATAGAGAGAGATAGAGACAGAGATAGAGAGAGAGAGTGCAATGTGTCACCAGCTCTCTGGAAATCAGAGCTTTGCTGCTACAGTTGGAATTGGTGTCATCGCAATAGTTATTACTGTTCCATTTCGGTCACTGTTGATCACTGTTCCGGGAGACAAACTGCGCGAAATACGAATCTCTGATCCTCAAGAAGGCTGTGTCCTGATCTTGCTGATGATCTCAGGATCAATGACCGAGGCGCTGCCATCAATAACTCACTGCAATGTATTACATTAGGATTGAATGAGAAATCTAGTAGTAGAAATCTGGAGTGGAAATGATTAAAACCACATTTTTCAAACAATAACCAAATAACACAGACTCTCCATGTGACCTTTTCTGCGCCAAAGAACAAGGGGCGTTTTGTACATTGGGCAATTCAACCGGCAACACAACCTCATTGCTGTACCCATTAAATGCATTAGATGTACTTTAGCTGGAAACTGACATTGAACGAGTCTTTTAAAATGGCAAAAGTACAACATTGTACTTTGGGGGTGGGGGAGGTGTGTGGGGGGGGTCACTCATGCTGGTTTTATATTGCAGCGAGGGATATAAATCGAGTTTTTTTCCATGAATCAACTCCATGTAACTCCAAAATTCAGACTCAGTTATACAACCATGATGGACTGCAACATGGACATTACAATAATAACATTAAGAAAGGCGATTCACATTCATGTGGGTTTTAAATCTGGAAGCACATTTGCTTAGACGCTTTGTGCCTCTCCTGTACAAGTACCATTCAAGCAATGACTTTACCATGACCACTCTGTCCAATACACAGTAAAGAGGATTTGCATTTGTCCTTCCTTTACTCTGAATTGATAGCACAGTGAAGCATTACGCTGAAGATTCTGACTACATCAACCGGAACTCCGGACTCTCCAATCAATTATTAACTTATCTATTGCAAAAGTTTTACAATTCCCAGTTGACCCATTAGTACGATTAAAATAATTGTTAATTCCTTTCCATCTCAAATGTATCAGCTGCAATTGATTCGCATTGGCATTTTGATATATACAGCGTTTTAAAATGCTTATATTTCCTAACGCTTTGTTTTAGTTGACAGAATGAATGTCCTGTATCTCCTCCCACCCTCTCCATCTTCCCTAGACCCAATTGTGCAGAATGGATGGGGTGGGGAGGTCTGGAGACAGTTACTGTATGTGTAACCGGATCAGTTTCGTCGATACTTAGATCAATAATTGTATTGGTGTCATAGACAAATCACCTTTTGCAAACACCTATTTCCTAAAACATATACCTGGACAACAGTTCTCATTGAAGTCATTTCATAGTGCAAATGCTCGTTTGCATCTGGCATCTTCTTAAGTTAAGATATGTTCCCAGGCTTTAGGGTGTGTAGTTTTGTGTATATAGTAGTATCTGCTTTGTGGAGTCCTGTAGCTCAGTGGTTAGAGCACTCGCTTTGCAAACGAGAGATCTGGGTTTGATTCTCAGCAGGGCGAAACCTTGGGCAAGTTTCCTTACTCCACACGCCTAATAATAATCCCTCAAGAAAAAAAAACCCAATAATAAATTGGTCATTTCAATCCACGACTGTTTGTGGAACACTGCTGTGCGCAATTGGCTGCCGCATTTCGCCCACAAACATTCACTTTACACTCTATTCTGTGAAGCGCTTTGAGACGTCTAGAAGATGTGAAAAGCGCTATATCAAATGCAAGGATTATTATTATTATTATTATTATGACCTGTTATCTATCTCCATTCCTACAAAGTGAAACTGTCAGTAAGAGCCCGCAGGGAGTTTTTGGTTACCAGAGCGACCTCTTCTGGCCATTTTAGTCACTGAGCGAAGTGGACAAAATCGACACTGATATTTCTTCACATTAAAAAAAGTCCTACCGTAAAAATGAATAAAACTAATCTTCGTCACTGTAGTATTACACAGTGCTTATTCTAAAGTAAAAAAAAGGATATTTTAAATCACCTTGAACTAATATTTTGTGGAGAAATATTTTTATCGCAAAAATGTACAGGGAGAATGCTGGCTATTTAGACATAAGTATGAAAAGGATTTTTGTACATGTTGGATGAAGGATTCATAGTGAAGAAAATATCATTATTGTTAAGGATAATCAGACCTAAATGTAAAGTCATAACCTTCTACATGCTTCTCCTTGTTGACACAATCTACAAGCATGGGATCTCCTCCCAAATGTGTGCTGATGACACTCAATTCTATCTTTCTGACTCCAGGATCAGTGCTGTTCTGACAGACTGGCTTTCAGACATCAAGTCTTTGATGAGCCTTACCTTTTTCCAACTCAGTGTTGACAAAACTGAACCTCTCTTGCTTGGCTCCTGTCAGTACCTCCTCATCTCAGACACTGACCATATTGACCTCTCTGGCAACTCACTTTATCTCATGGAACCCGTGAGGAACCTTATTGTTTTGATCAACTCTCTAAATCATTTGCCTGGGCTCTGTCTGTTTCTTTTTAAATCTCTGCATCATCACCCGCCTTGGTCACTACCTCAACCCCAAAACCATAAACCCTCATGCATACTTTGTTACTTCCAGAGACCACTTGTATCCTCTCCTGTGCCAGGCTCCACATCTCCATTTCCCCATCCTTACCCAGCTCCACTGATTCCCTATCCACCAGTGGATCCTCATCCTTAACCTTCAAACGCCTCCACATTACCATCACACCTCTGTGATTTCCTCCCACCCTACTCACCCAGCCTTTCCCTCTGCTCCATCAACATCTGTGGAGTCCTGTAGCTCAGTGGTTAGAGCACTCGCTTTGCAAGCGAGAGACCTGAGTTCAATTCCAGGCAGGGCGAAACCTTGGGCAAGTTTCCTTACTCCACACGCCTAATAATAATCCCTCCAAAACCAAAAACAATAATAAATTGATCATTTTCAATCTACGACTGTTTGTGGGACATTGCTGTGCGCAATTGGCTGCCGCGTTCGCCCACAAATATACAGTCAATTCACTTTACAGTGTGTTCTGTGAAGCGCTTTGGGATGTCATCCTGACATGAAAAGCGCTATATCAAATGCAAGGATTATTATTATTATTATTATTATCTGCTTCATGCCCCCACCTACTCCACTCTGTCATTAGCAGCTTGATCTTTCAGCCATTCCCCCCTCCGCCCCATCCTCTAGAGTTCTCTCGTGGCAGCCCTTTTCTCCCTCTATTTTCAAAACTTATTTAAACATAATTCTCTTTAATTGTATTGAAGAGAACTAACCTTCCCTCCAGAATAATAATGTGGCAAAAAATAACCAGAGATGGGCCACACTGTCTGTTTCTAGATAGGAACATTCTGTGATTCAAAGTGACAAATGTAAAACATTTTTCACACTCTCTTCCTGAAGGGATACATCCTGCTTACCCAATTTCAGACAGAATTGGGCACAGTTTGACAAAAGCCAAGCTTTGGGGATGTCAGAGTATGCATTGGTGTACTGCAGGAGTCTAACCAGGTAAAGACTAGCTTGCC